TTGCTTGAACAGTATATAATTTTTAATTAGATTAGTATACTGTTTTAGAGGTGGAAGATTTAAATTGTTTAACCTTGTTTATAGCAATTTTCTGTGAATAATTTATAATCTAAATCATGTTTAAGTGGTATCAAGTAAGCATGATAATGTATTTATTATCATTTTTATGTTTATCACGGATTAAAGGATGTTTATATTTATTCTCTGTGCTATAAATTATGCGAGAATCATGTAACTGTGGAATAAGACAAGCATGTTAGGTTACAAAATTCTATTATGCTTGGTATGAAATTAATTGATATAAACATTTATTTATGGTCTATCAATTATATGGACTCTGTGGATTAGTTGGAAGTTACATTTATTATCTGTATTATCAACTACTGGATGGTTAGGTTGTATGCACCGGTATGGGACGGTGGCATACTAGGGACGGATTAGTTTCAAAATATTAAATCCTACCTAAACAGAATAAGGGAATGGGTTATAAAATAAATCCTACTTATACTTAAGTCAAAGAAGTTGCATAAGCTGAATGACTAACTGGATTACTTGTTATCTGTGTTAAGTCAAAGAAGCTGCACACGCTGAATGACTAATTGGATTTCTTATGGATGGATATGATAGAACTTTAAATATATTTTTATGGTACCGTGATATGAGCTTGAGTCTCAGAGTCAATGGTTAGGGAGCGTATATGCAGTAGGATGCGTAGCTGACTATATTGGTTAAGGTATACCCTGTTAAGCCTAGGTAGTCATGCCCACTTAGATGCGTTTTGCATGTTGCCTTCTACTCAGGTTGAGACCCTCATCATACTTCAGTGAGAGTCCCATAGTGTGGATATATATATAGATATACTGATTATATAGATTTTGTTGAGTTGGTTAGAATGTATATGCGTATCGCGTCTCTGCTTGGATTGTAATAGGATAGAACTTGTTCGTGGGCCTGACTCACTTCTATTTTTCAGATACTCGTCAGTTTCAGACTTAGACCTGATCGTGCTGAGCAGAGATTACTTCTCACTCTTCCGACGACGTAGGACTTCTCGCCATGGTTTACTTTGGATGTTTTTTTTAGTAGTTTCATTTCACTTTGGATTTTTATTAAGGGTCCACTAGAGATGGATTCCCGAGTTGTTGAAACTATTAGAGGTTTTGGATTATTGGATTTTCTAAGTATTTAATTTGAAAGGATTTTATTTTAGAATTCATTCAGTTTTTACTTATTTCTTAATTCATTTTGTAATCTGTGTTCATTTTAAAATATTAATTGTTTAATATTTCTCTAGGGTTTGGGCCTGGGCCTGATTAACCTGTGTCTCGGATCCGAGGGGTATCACATACAATATATAGAGTCAATCATACCTGGGAATCCTCTTTCCTCCCCTTCTTAAAGCAGACGTGCAATGTCACCTTCGTTTGGTGAGCGTAGTTACTGCTCCGCATACAATGCAATTACAATATCACAAAAGCTTAAAGATCGCAGCGCGCTCTCTAACCTTTATGTACTCATCACAAAGATCCGCTGAAATTCCATAGGCCAGTATATATATCGCAACTGTCATCTTCTATATAAGGGTGCACCCCATTCGACCAGTAGCATCAGGTTTCTGTTTAAAGAATTTGTCATAAGTTGTAACATCATTTAAAATGCGAAGAAACAACTCTCGTCGCATCCGGAACCATTTATAAAAGTACTCAGGTGGAAAAAAAGGACTTTCGGTGAAGTAATCTTTCCAGAATTGTTGGGCTGCATCCTCCCGATCACGCTTAATATATCATCTCTTCTTTGGTTTAAATAATGCTTTTAGATTCTGCGGCATGAAAATATCTAGAACCGTTTTGATTCATTTATGATGGAACTAATAAACCGTCCCTCGATCAGAATTTAAGGAATTTTCTGAAGATTCAGATTCAAAGATTTGAAAAGATTGTGATGATGATGCCATTTTTTTCTAGAGTATGAAGTTGAGAATTCAAAGAAGGAAAAAAGAACTTGAGAAATCAAAGAAGAGAAAAATGGACTTAAGGAATGAAGGAAGAGAAAAATGGACTTGAGCAATTACAAAAGAGAAAATAAGTGATTTATATAACCATTGGGAATATAGCCATTGAAATATAGCTGTTGAGAATATAGCCTTTGGAATATAGCCATTAGGTATAGGAAAATCTCTATAAATACCGCATTCATTTCACTCAATTCTCATCCTTTAACACTCATTTTACTTAATTCTCATCCTTCAACACTTATTTCACTAAATTATCATTTTTCGACACTCCATAAATCAACGACCTTCATTCAACAACCCTCACATTAACCAATATGGAAACTTTGAAATACCACATCGATTAAATTACGGGTGGCACTCTCAAGATCCAACCCATTCTGAATTTACATCTCAACCCATTTTTATTCAGAATATGCACCTCAATTCTAAAATCCATCTCAACAGCCCCCATACAACATCGATTCCAAAATCCATCCCAACAGTCCCCATACACACCTCAATTTCAATCCATCTCATCAACCTTCTCAATCACAACTAACCCTTAAGAAAAAAAGGGTGGAAATTGGTCCGAAGAAGAAGATATAGCATTGTGCAAAGCATGGATCATGATTGGTGAACATACAGTGACGGGTACAAATCAAAATAAGACTACATTATGGGAGCGAATCCACGCTCATTGGGTTAGGCAATTGGGAGATATGATGGAAAATAGAACACACGTTGCTCTGATGAACCCTTTTTCATACTTTCGAGGTGAAGTAAACAAATTTTCAGGATACTACAAAAATGTTCATGACACTCTAGCTAGTGGCTATAACAAGATTGATTTGGTAAGTTTTTTTACTTTATATAATTTTTTTATTCTTAATTTTAATTCAAATTATTAATTTCAGTTATTATTATTTTTTATAGATGAATATTGTTAGAGAAGTATATAAACATCAACAGAAACACAAATTTAAATACAATCATTGTTGGAAGGTTCTTCGGCATACGAAAAAATGGCAGATGCATTGCAACATTAAACAAAATTCAACTGGACAACCAAGGAAGAGAGGTGTTGATCTGGATATTAATGAACCTATAAATTGGTCTGAATCAACTCCAACAATACCAAGTTCATCAACTCCTGCAATATCAACTCCATCTTCAGTAAACCTTGGCCATGACGACCCACCAGTCGATACTGAAGGTTCGAAAATTTCACGCCCTGAGGGACGAAAAGTAAGGAAGATTCGTAAAAAGAAAACATCTTTTGAAACAGATATTCTTACATAATTGAAAGTTGTAACAGAACAGGGCGTCATGTTTGGTGAAGCAGCCGTGGAAGGATAGCGATTGAGACTTCAACTCTCCATAGAAAGACAACGGACTAAGCAGCTGAAGATAGAATCGAATTTGAAGAAAAAACGAACTAAACAATTGGAAATAAAAACAAGAGAAAGGATGGCAATGTCAAATCCTAAATAAACTAAATCAGAGGGGTGGTCATATGTAATTTATTTTTATTTGTCAAAAAAAATATGCAATGTCATATTTATTTATTTAATTAATTGTGAGAAAATATGTAATGTCTTTTTTATTTTATTTATGTAATTGTGAGAAAATATGTAATGTCTTTTTATTTTATTTTATTTAAATTTGCTACAAAAATTATTTCATTCAAATATAAAAAAGTTTTCAAGTGATTAAAAAAATAGTTGTTGAAGAAAACACAAACAAACAAAAAAATAAATATGTTTTAATATTTTTTATTCAAAATATTAAATATATAAAAATATATATATATAAATAATAATAAAATATTAAATAGTAATTAATCATATCCTAAAAAATCGATAGCAAACTAGTAAGTTATATCAGCATAATTGTTAACATGACTAGCAAGCCACGCGTAATGTAGACAGAGTTAACGGTATGTATATGTATTGGGATTTCTATGATGTGATGCTAGCCAATAATTAATGGATGTCGGATGATGTTCCTCACTCTTCATGCCCATTGGCGTGTGATATAAATCCCGTCACTCATAAATTAATGGGCCTAGACTCTACAACGTACAGTACTCAAATTTACCAATGATCGGTGGTCCATGATTTTATAGTGTCATATACTGATCAAGTCATGTCTTCATCAACACTACTACATGTAAGTCCATCACAGCAAATGAATGCTGCTGCTAATTAGCTGCAACATTTATCATATTTACTTTATCAAGTACTCCCTGTTCCAAAATATTTGAATACTTTTACAGTACTCAAAATTTATTATATTTACTTTATCAAAGTACTCCCTGTTTCAAAATATTTGAAAGTCGTCAAAATTTATTATATTTACTTTATCAAGTACTCCATGATCCAAAATATTTAAATACTTTTACAATTTTTAAAGTATCTAAGTATTTTGGGATAGAAGAAATATATACTGAAAAAAAATAATATTAAAAATAATTCCAAAATGTGGCAAACATTACCTTACCACACTGGTTTATTTATTTATTTAATATATAAATACTCACACACCCATAAATGTCCATTATGATTCAAAATTTTCATCTCATTTTGGGGGGAGGAGTCAGGAAAAATTATACCATAGTTGTATAAAAGGAAATTACCTTATCATAGTTGTATAAAAGGAAAGGTAATTACTCTCCCGATTTACTATTAGGTTATTTATATGAAATGCCCTAAAATTGAATTGAAAAAGAGTTGTTGGTCCTAATGCCAATTTCTCATTATACTTTGGATTAGATTCATCAAAAGAAATCCACAAATCAAGCATGAATGTCACTGCCACACAATTTTTTCATCCAATAATGATTTTAAAGTTGAAGGGTTTGAATAAAATGGAGAATCGCAAGCTCTTCGTCCGTTAGAAATACTCAATAGGAGTGATGTGGGACCCAATTAAGTGTATCTACATTTCATTCGAACTCTTAACCATGAATATTATTACTCTTTTTCATCCAAACAAGGCCTTAGGCCCATTGGAAATAGAAAAACCTTATCTCAAAAACAAGAATAACAATTGTAAGAAAGTGAGCTTATCCACATGGTGCTTCTACCCAGTTCAGCTGAGAAACATTGGTAGAGCTAGCTTTGAGCAACCATGGCAGCCTTTAGCTGCCAATTTCATCTCACAATCCATAAGACTTGTCAAAATGTCAAAACCAGGCCTTTTTCTATTTCTTGTTCAATGCAGCCCTCCCAAAACAACATTAAGGTAATACTTCAATGTCCCAATTTCAGTTATAAATATATATATATATATATATATATATATATATATATATATATAGACACTAAGATTCCTCTCTCTCACTCTCTCGTAATTGTGGGGAAAAGGTAGTTATAAATGGAGCAGCCAAGGAAATAGGAAGGGCAGCAGTGGTTGCAGTGACCAAAGCTAGAGGAATGGAAGTAGCTGGTGCAGTGGATTCTCACCTTGTGGGAGAAGATATTGGACAGGTTCCTCTCTCTCTCTCTCTCTCTATATATATATATATATATATATTCCTTTTAATTTGTGTACTTCCCAAAGTAGGTGTGTGACATGGAAGAAGCTTTAGAAATACCCATAATCAATGACCTCACAATGGTCTTAGGTTCAATATCTCAGGTAATTTACTAGTGGCACTAGTCCCCATCTCTTCTCAATGGTTCATTTATTTCCCAATCTGTATTAATTGGACTATTCATTTCTTGGCAGTCAAAAGCAACTGCTGTTGTAGTGGATTTTACTGACCCTTCCAAAGTCTATGATAATGTGAAACAGGTTTAGTCTCTTTCAATCAACATGACCTTATATATCTATTCTACATTGCCAATTAATTCTAATTTCCTCTTCATTCTACTTAATCACTTCTATTAGGCAACTGCATTTGGCATGAGAAGTGTTGTTTATGTCCCGCGCATTAAACTAGACACTGTCGCAGCATTATCTGCATTCTGTGAGAAGGCCAGCATGGTGAGCACAGGGTGAGATGTTGTTTCAAAATTTTCAGTCTTTCTTCTTCATTGAGCCTTAAATTTGAATCAGACAAAAACTTTATGAATCGATTTAATTCATTACATTTACTATGTTTGGCGTCGATGTCTACAGGGTTGTCTGGTGGCACCAACCCTGTCTATAGGATCTATACTACTTCAGCAAGCTGCAATTTCAGCTTCCTTCCACTACAACAATGTAGAAATTGTTGAATCAAGGGAAAATGCAAAGGTTAGTCGAATCAGAACTCCGACAAAAAAAAACAAAATTTAAATTTAGAATTCAGATTTCAGATTATCCTTGTAGCTACATATTGATCCTAATGTTACAAGTCAAATCAGATTGAGTTATATCAAATTGGGTAATAATTTTGATCACACATTCTGTGCATTGGCTGTTGCCTCAGTTCATTTTACTTTGAGGTTGCTGTACCAGACACCAATTCATCTAATTATTAGCATCATTGCCATATAGAATAACTAGCTTCATGAACCGATCCAGTCCAGCTCATTACAAGTGGTATCAGAGTCAATCCAACCCCTTGTTAGGTGTGATGTAGAACAGATTGTTGATGATTTTGGAGCACGTTTGGACCATCAAATTTTTTAGATAATTTCGACGAGTCTGTTTTGACCTGAAATATCCTACTCTGATCGAAAATGGCCTAACTGGTAAAATTTCGACTAGTCTGATCACATACACCCAGAACTGTTCGGGCCCGGGTCGTTACTAGATCATCTCGCCATTAGAGTGGACAGGTAGGCAGGGTGGTCAAACTGCAATGAAAGTGTTACGGGTTTGGGTGGAAAAGAATGTCACAAGGGGCTTGGGCTTATAAGAGTGGATCTTTGCCATTTTGATACTTAGTTCAAACTTAGATTTCTGTATGCCTAATAAATACGGTCCTTTTCTCCTCCTCATGGTGACTTTCAACATTGTACGAGTATGAGGCCCAAAAAATTTCATACTCGTGTGGTTCCAACACTTTGCAGCATCATTTTCATCTTCAAAAGAATGATAGAGATAGTCTTGTTCATAAACTTTCCTGTGGACCCATTTCAAAGCTGGATCCACTCTGGACGATTTGGTCAAATTTGAGCTCAATTCAATGCGAACTACTACTACTGAACTATGATTTTAAAATTAATACAATGCCATGCCTCTTTCTCCTAATTTTCCATCTCTTTTTCACAATCAATTAAAAATGGTCCTCTCAGACCCTTTTTAAGTGCTGTACAAACATGTTCTGGTGGTGCTCTCAGACCCTTTAATGACTGTATAAACATGTTCTAGTGGTCCTCTCAAGCCTAGCGGGAATCTTAGTTACATTACTTCTTATGAATAAGCTTCGCCGAGTCATTGTTACAATCCCATTTACTGTATATATATATTTATTGTTGTACATCAGTGTTTGGATATTGAATGACATAGGAAAATGAAATCATTTCACTCTTTATCAATTAATGAAACTATATATATATATATATATTTTTAATTTACATTACAGATACATATATGTATGCATTTATACATAGTCCATAGATATGTACATTAAAATTTTCAATTACACTTTATGATACTGTGGACAAGAGTTTAGTTCAAGTTAGAGAGATAGAGTTGACATTACCTTGAATACAAGTATTAAAGATACTGAATTTTTTGGCTTGTTGACAGGATCTTCCATCACAGGATGCAATTCAAATTGCCAACAACCTTTCTAACCTTGGCCAGATCTACAACAGAGAAGACATTTCAACAGATGTTGCGGTAAAAGGACACCGAAAACTAAATCATAATGGTGCTACACATATTATATCAAATTAGTATCTTTAAAAAAAAAATTTATATATATATATAATAAAAAAATTAAGGAAATGATTTTGAAGATCATTATGGCATGGTTAATAATATTACATTTTGGTTCTGCAAGGCAAGGGGTCAAGTTCTAGGAGAAGACGGAGTTCGTGTACATAGCTTGGTTCTTCCAGGGCTCCCAGCAAGTACAACAGTCCACTTCTCTGGACCAGGAGAGGTGTGTTTGCTGAAATTCTTGACCTAATGCTTTATCCTGGAACTTAATAACATTGCTCGTCGCAGGTTTACACCATCAAACACGACATAACAGATGTGAAGTGTCTCATGCCAGGCCTACTCGTGGCCATCAGAAAAGTTGTGCGCCTTAAGGTAGCTGAACATCGAAAATTTCTATTTCTCAGTTTCTTAAGACTTTTTTTGGTTGAGCACTCTGAGAACAATTTATTTTTTCTTTTTGTTTCAGAATCTGGTGTATGGATTGGAAAAGTTTCTGTGAGAATTCAGGAGCCCTTCGACTTTTTGTCATAGAATTATAAGATAGAGAAACGGAGAATTCAAACACGAACCAACATTCTCATACTTGACAATTCAAGCTTCTACCGTCGCACAAAGTACTAATGGCGCCTCATTTGGCGTAGAAAACACTGCATCAGAACTCCAAATTAATTGTACTTAATTAAAACAAATATGTTCATGATTTTGAGACTAATATTCTGCAACCAGAAATGGGGATGATCATACAAGCCTTTTCCTACTTTGACGGCAATTGTTTCGACAATGTCATCACAAATGCCTGAAGTGTTCCTTTCTCAGCTATCTTAGACTGGCTAAAATCATTCGAGTTCAACGAAAATTTCTTAATTTGGTCCTTAGAGCATCCGGCGGGGTGCAAGCTCAAATAAAGAATATGAGCATAAAATAGAGAACAAGGAGTGATGCTGTGGGGCAAGAATTGAGAGCCTTGTTAGTGGACCCCACACACCATTCTTAATCACATTCTCCGCAGTTAGAGAACCAAATAGTGAATCATTTGTTATTTTTTCTGGTCCCACACACCATTCTCTCTCGCTTTGATTTCTAAACCTTATTAAAACAAATTAAAATAGTAAAGTAGATAATCAAACACTGAGCTACACACTATGGATAAAAAAAATAAAATAAAGTGTCGAATTATCATATTTTATTAAAATATGTCATGTGTCACTTCACTTTGCTTTTAAATAGATAGATAATGTGTGTCAAACACATTGATTGCTCTCAGAAGATTTGCAATTACAAATAGTTAAAATCATTCTTGTTTCAGATTCTAAATCGCATTCAAGAATTTAGAAAACTTTGCCTATGTCAATAATAATACAAGACATTAAAGTTTGAAGATATTTAAGAATCCAAATAATCATTTGGTGTGTGTTTGCTTAACCTTGGAGAAGAAGCCTTACAAATGAAGCCTGTGAGAACTTTCAAATGAGATGTGTTGAGGAATGATTTCAGGAAGCCTGTAAGAAATTCCATGTATAATGTTAGTCCTTAGAAGAAGCTAGCATCGGTACTAGTTTCAGCTAAAAGCAGGAAAGGTGACACTAGAGCATGATTGTACTGATTTATATCTATCAATTCAATTTACCGTGTGGGGGCCACAAATATTACCTGGGGCAATAATAAAATGTCTGACTGGGTTTGAGTTTGACACAAGTTACTCTGACCAAAACAAGTGGATTATGGTTTTTTATTTTTATTTATTTTTCCCTAGATTTACAGTGTGCAATCATATTCAGCTAACACCTAACACCTAACACCTTAGGCTTCAAGGCTCAAAGTTGGATCACAGAATATTTTTGGAAAAGTTGTTATTTTCATCAAAAATTCCAAGACCAATTTGTAGAACAGAGACCAGAGACCGATTTATTCAAGTAATGATTGTCATAGTTTCATGAAAAAATGGTTTTACACATGGAAGGTTTGTCGGTCACATCTTTTGGCCAAGGGTGTAAAGTAACATATAAGATCGGATTAACTTCAACATAAGTTATTTTCATTCCCGTTCCGAATCCTGAACTACGTGTCTCTCCATTATACAAACAAGTTTTTTTTACTTCCTCTAAATTTTTATTTTTTTTTATACAGATTGTCTATACATGAGTTGTACTTTTATTAATTGTGTATGAATAATCATATGGTTTTTCAATACTCAAGTATAATTAGAAATTTGAAAGGGTTAATTTCACTGACACTCCCTCAAGTTTGACTAAATATCATTCTGAAATAACTTTCGAAAATTACTATCACTCATGTTGCAAAAGTTTGAAAATAATAACTTAAAATGGAGTTTGCTAAAAATTCAAAGTGTTCTTCAGCGTACATCAAGCATTTATGTGAGTCTATAGATTGCCTTCCTTTTCTCTGGAGAACTTATTTTTCATATTTAAGAAATAATTTTACTTTACTCATTGAAATTATATAATCTTTTGCAACAACTCTTTCTTCATTATCCTTCCTCCTCTTCTGCGGAAGCATACTAGAAACATAATAGGGCTTCCAGTAGCAATAATTTGGATGCAGAACTCTTCTGAAACATAGAAGTGACTCTTTTTAATCTTCAAAATGAGGGCAAAAAAGGCGCCAAAATAGCAAATGCCCATATTCACATTCCATATGCACAATCAACCATTCACATTGGCATGAATAAAAATTAGACAAAATAGATGGACTTCTCCATTTATCTCAGAGATTGGACTAGTGCGAATTAGTGATCGTTTTATTTGCATAAACTGTCTTAAACAGTGCCCTCGTCTCTGAATTTGTTAGCAACAGCTCCTATCCAGCCTCTGTCTCTAATGCTATATGCATAGTTGATGGTAGAAGCTAGCAGGACAAATCCCTCAGCCTTCTCCATTTGATTGTTTCTTCGGTTCGGAGATTGCAGCACTGGTTGTACCAGGAGAGAACCAACCCCCTTGGGGAGCATATCCCAGATTTCTGAATCTGAAACATTGATAGAACATTTCAAGTCAATACACAATGAAAAACCGTTCAAGGAATCAATGCTAAAATGGCAGTTCAATAGTGAATATCAATACGAATCTTATTCAAGCATTCACTCGAGCAGTCTATAATTTTAATGTCATTGACAATAATAGCTGAGGTAAAAGATGTATTGGTAATCCATAAAATTCTATTATAATAGGCATTTGGATACATTTCCATATCCTTAGCTTTAAAAAAACAAAATCACTCCGACATGCCATCTCTCCAGAAAGAACTTTAATAAGTATTGAACCCCAACTACTTGGATCAGTAGGCATGAACTGTTCCACCAAACAAATATATCAAGAGCTATATAATCCATTTAATCACGTGTTTCTCATGTTTTTCCTCATCAACTCGACTCATATTCTTTTTTTTTTGGATCCCTCTAGCCCTGTTCACAACATGAATGAAGTCGCTCCTTACTAATTCGCTTATTCATCCTCATTGCATGAGCATCTTCATTTGTCCTCAACTGGTTCTGCCTCGTGATAAGAGGCAGCTAAAGGAGAAGCACCCATCCACACCCAACCGTCAGCAGTGAAACTATTTCCGAATTAGGAAAATAAAAATGGTGACGTACAACCTCTATGTATAACACAGAATTTCCGCAACTGGTATGTACAACCCATCGTATGTACAAACTATTTCCAAAATTGTTTGTGCAGGTAAAGTATAAATTTTCCAGATTAGGAGAACAAAATTGTTGCCACACAGCTCTTATGTCAAAAATCTACTTCCTTGTTCAAGATTTAGAACATCCTGTTCTGAACATTTCATTTTTTCCCATCAAGCTCTTAAAATTAATGAAACTCCCCAACAAAACAAACAGCCACAGAAAGAGGAACTGCTCCTACCTTTAGGTCAGTGAAGTAGGACTGAAATCATGACATCACAATTACTATTGGAATGTCTACCACATAACATTGGATCAACCCCGAGAGAATTATTACAGATTCAGTAACAGTTAAATGTGGGGACTAACTACATCATAATAGGGAGAGGAGGGGGAAGTGAACCATCTCAAATCATCAGCTAATGAGGCACACATGAAATTGTCCATTAAATTTTTAATTTCTCTTACAAATTTGAAATTTAAATCATATGTTTTGTTGATATTTGATACCTTCAATCGTTGATATTTACTTGTTGCAGATTGTTAAAGGATTTAAATATTTAATTACACCCTCTCTAATAGCTTAAGCTTTTAGAGTAGATGGTTCTCAACGTGGTATCATCGCAGGGTAGGTAGGTCATGTGTTCAGACTTCATCGTCACCCTGATTCAAAATTGATTCAGGTTACTCCTTCTCTAAGAGCTTAAGCTCTTAGACTATATGGTTGTGAACAAATGAAATGGAAGTATAAAATTCTCTACTACAGCTCAAAATGAAAATTATATTTTATGCTACCATGTCCAATCAACCAACAAACATGTTAAAAACAGAAAAATGAGCCCCAAAGTCTTTCGAAAATTTTCATTTATTGAAGATCTAGAATAAGATCAAACTATTATTTACCTGCACGCTGAGGAAAATAGAGGGTGTCCTCCAGATCAGAGAGGCCAATCCGCTCAATCTGCTTCTCAAACCAATCAAGTACATGGTCTTTTGATAAATCTACTGGTGTGTTCCAATATCCACGTACACATAATGCACCTCGAACTGATATAAGCTAGAAAATTAAGAAGATTACTATCTATATATAAAACGAATAACTTTGAATCAGATTATAAAAATAATAAAGTAAATAAATAAAGAAGAAGAAGAAGACATAAGGTCTTTTCTGTTTGGATCGAAGACTGCACGAAAAAATTAAGTGATCTTGTTATAATGACAGCAATTTTTAGCACTTTGTCAACCTCAGAGTGTTAAATTACAAAAGATAGTAGTAAAGTCTGGGGGGTTTACCACGGATATGGTGTTTGTATTGCGCAACAGTATGTAAGTTCCCCAAGCCAAATCCTCCTTTAGAGTATCTGAAATATTTTGTGACATGGCAAAGATTTGCCCAGCACCTTCAGGGAGAGTTGCCTGATCCACTTGAGTAGTAGCACCCTGCACAATGTTCCTAAGTATCAGGTACAATAAAATGTTAACCAGGCATTGTATAAGCACCATTTTCACAATGTATTGATTTACGAATTTCTCATATGTTATTCGTTTGAAGATTTGAAAGCCAAACAATTTGCCCATGTCAAACTTATTAAACTAAGAATTAAATTTTTTTTCTTGCTTAATCTGGTTGCATGCATGACCATTTTTAAAAGGGATTGCACTTGGATCGGAAATATCTATATATATTTTTTTTCATAATTGGATCGGAAATAAATTGACATATGGAACATGTCATAATGGAGTTTATGACTTGTGCAAGTTTGTAACTATTCAAAGTTTTGTAGGGCCTGAAAATTTATTAATGTGGGCTTTTATTATAAAATAAAAAATAAAATCAAAAGTTTAGCATAATTTACTTTATCATACTTTATCATGCCCTAAATAAGGAAACGTTTCAAGATTCGGGGTGTGGCAATAAGCAAGTACAAGTAAAAGCTAAGGTGTCAATATGAAGCATGAGTAAATACTAGTAAAAGAGTAATGATATTTATGCCGAGGAGTCTGAACGAAATGAGGAACCGAACACTCTCCATTCAATGATACACTCAACTAGGTCCCACATCACTCGTAGCTGAGAGTATCTAACGGATGGGGAGCCTTCGGTTCTCCATTTCCTTCGGACTCTTCAGACGTAAAATCATTATTGATACTAAAAATATCCAAGCTAATATTTTCCAATAGATTACATCAAAGAATCACAGGAAACCCAATTGCCAGAACTACTAAAACCAAAACATTGATGCATAGATAAATTTCAATATTTGCCAAGAAAATGCACAAATTGATTTTGGGCATCCTAGAAAAAATAAAAGTCCCACTTTATCAAAGTCTTAAGTCTATAAATTTGGCTAAGTTGGGGGTTTTGTTGTTGTTGTTGTGTTTTTTTTTTTTTTAATCTATAAATACATTAGAAACCAGAATAAGCTTCTCAGCAACCAAACTAGGGTTAAAACTTTTACCTTGAGAAATTGTCCGAGGTAAGGAAGAACAATAGAGAATGCAGCCAAAGAAAGACCCAAAGCCTCTGATCTCTACACACCAAACAAAAAATTCAATGGATATTAAAATCAGACAAGTTATGTATGTGCATTTGTAAATAAATAAATAAATGATTAGTCTTGAAAAAGGGTTTGCTTACAAGCTGTGCTGGTGTGGTGGTGGTTGAATTTGAACCCACAAAATGGTTCAAGAGCAGAAGCGAACCAAAAGCGTATCCAATCCATCTGGGTAAGTATGATTCGTCCAGTCCAGGTATTCCTAAAGACCAATGATTACATATTATATATAGAGAGAGAGTGTGTGTGTGTGTCAGTATAGAGAGAGAGGGGCTGATACTAACCGAGAGTGAATCGAAGAACAGAGAGGTTGAGTTGCTGTTGATTTGTGGTCCTCTGAGAATCGTCAAGACGAGTACATGAAATGTTAGATAATTTTCTTTTTCTGGTGTAGAGTTTGGAGATGCCCGGTTGGAAAAAACAATAATTAGAGAGATTTTTCAACGGAAATTTAAACGAGAATAACGGATTTAAAGTGAGGCCACTGCTCATTTTCCTCTCTGTTGTGTGGGAGACGAGAAAAGCTCGGAGGTGTTGAAGGCGGAGCCAGAAATTTTAGGTAGAAAATTTTATAAATTAATTGTAATATATTTTTTGTTTAAATACTAGTCATTGTCATATACTCATAAGTATACATACTTTGAAAAATTTTAAAAATGAGAAAAATATAACTTAATAGTAGAAATTAAAAACAAGGTAAAGTATACTAACACCCCTCAGGTTTGCCAAAAGGATATACATATGAAACTTAGCTTGTTTTGGGACAAAGGCACCCCCTTGTCATATTTGACAGCCAAACAGAGCCTAAAAATGTGTGAAAAGTCTAATTTGCCCTACATTATTTGATTAATTTTAATAGTAAAATATCAAAAATAATTAAATGACCTAATTGCCCTTCTCTTTTCTCTCTCTATACACCTCTCTATACATCGATATAGCAAATATATATATATATATACTCGCAACCGTGAAATTGTCCGGCAGGGCTCTAATAGGCGGTGATGAACCCACCCATGGTGGAGTCGTGGAGGTGATCTGCTTAGCGGTGATAAACCCACCTACGGTAGAGATGCTCTGCTCGGCGGCGGCAAAAATTATTGTGGGTGTGTATATATATATATAATATATACATAAATTTGTTGCAATGTCCAAATACCAAGTACTGTCTCGATCCACAACCAAATCCACAACCAGAGAGCAGAGAGTTCACGGCGGTGCAAGGATTAGGTCGATGAAGAATGGCAGTGAATAGCTCAGCCTTGGATGGTTCCGTTATAGAGATGGCGGCATGGGCCAGCGAGCAAGGAGGCTTCGGACGGTGGTGTGAACTCAGTCGCGATGGGGTGGTTCGCAGCGTGATGGCAGCGACAAGATCGACCGGTGGAGGGCTAAGTCGTGATGGTTTGACAGGCGATGGAGGGGTCGGCTGTGGAGAGGTCAGCCGGTGAGGGGAACAGCCGGCAAGCTTGGAATTGAATCGGCAGTGCTTATAATGGTTATGCCCGGCGGTGAAGTGGCGGCAGCGGCGATGAGCTGTGGCGGTGGACAGGTTCGGCTGTGAGCTTACGGCTTTGGATGATGGCAGCCTCGGGCGTGAATGACTCGCGGCGGTGAGGTTGTGGAGCGACGGAAACGGTGATGGGCTCGGTACGGCTGTGGAGAAGTCGGCTGACTCGGCCGTGAATGACTCGCGATGGTGAGGTTGTGGCTTCGCTCGGAACGGCAAGGTCGACTGAGATGGAGCGACGGAAACGGTGGGCGACGGGCTGTGAAGAGGAGTTTGATATATATATAAAGCTGCAAAAATTATTATATTACTTTTAAAAAATCATGTGTTTAAGACGAAGATGGGAGAAGGAAGAAGAAGGATTGGTTTGTGAGTAAAGGTTAGAAATGTAATTTCAACCTTCAAATTGGTCAATATAAAGGTCAAAGGGCAAAAATGTCAATTCATTACCATTGGGGTGTCTTTGGTATCTGTATGAAACTTGAGGGGGTGCCTTTGTCTCAAAATAAGCTAAGTTTCATCTGGGTGTCCTTTTGGCAAACCTGAGGGAGTGTTAGTGTACTTTACCCTAAAAATAATAATATAGAGACAGAAAATTATATGTCTATATCTATATCTCTATACTATAAAATTATATATATATACACTATTCTAAAAGTGTAAGGAATCTCTTAACCCTTTTAAGTTTTTTTTTTTTTTTTTTTTCACATATAAAAAGTATTAATTCATACTGCACATGGACATTAATTCCAAAAAAAAATAAGCACATCCCACATATAAATATGTACATGTATATTTAATTAGTGAAAAACTTTTCCTCTTCCTTAAATAGAAAACTGATAATGTGTTTAAATTTTTATTTATCTCTTTTAAATAATAATTTATTTTAGTTAATCATTATTTTATGGAATTTTTTGTTAAAATGCATATTCACGACATGTCTATATGTATACTATTATAAAAGTGTAAGCATTTTTTCTAATTTCTTAACATTTTTCACTATTTTTAAAAATTCAACTATGAAATTTTAAAAATATATTTAATAGGGTAAAGTATAGCAATGCACCTGAGATTTGTCAAAAGGACACACAAATGAAAATTATCTATTTTTTGGACAATGATACCCCTCACACTTGATAAAATGGACAAAAATACCCTTACAATGATGAATTGACTATATTACCCTTTGGCATAAAATTGACAACTATAACCATTTTTATTGACTAAAATACCCCTTACAACTATACCAGTTTGGTCTTTCTTGACAAGATTCTCAGTTTCATTAACACTTTCGCAGGCGAGGTCTGCAATTAGCTTCCCTTTGTGTTAATTGTGAGTATGCAGTGGATGATGTTGGTTCTCTTTTACTGCAACTTTGTTTCTGCTATTTGGTACTCATTCAGTCAGCTTCTTAGATTTCATAACTTTTAGGCATTTTATAATTTGTTCCCTTTAACAAACCAGAACCTCAAAGTTTGATCAGTTACTTCTTTCCAACTCCATTGCAATTTCAACTGTTTAAATTGGGAAAAATTTGTAGTAGTCAAACCAAAATAATTGTTTCCTTCTTTTGTCTGTTTCAGATCAATTATTTCCTCATTTCGCCTCATTCAGATCTTTTCCTAAATGCCCTGGGAAATTTTCAGATCTAAAAATTGTTTATTGTGAAATCCGGGGTACATTGATAGCGGTCGGATTGGTGTCGGAGGCGATTGAGATACATCACTGGTGCCAGTTGTCACCAAATTCAGCAATCCTATAACCCTCTAACCCACTCTCTCTTTGATGGTTGCCGGTGTGGCAGTGATGGGGAGGTGGCGTGGCTGTGATGGGGATTGTGGCCGGTGATTGTGGTGGGAGGAGGTGGGGGTGTGGGTCTGGCGTTGGTAGAGAGAGAGGAAGGAAGAAATAAAAGAAAAAAAGATGGGTAGTGACGGTGGAGGGAAGGGGGGCGATGTCTGTGTGTGGTTATATATATATATAAAGATGAAAAGGGTAATTTAGTCTTTTAATTATTTTAATATTTTATAATTAAAATTAATAAAATAGTGAAGGGTAAAATTGACTTTTCACATGTTTTAAGGCTCTGTTTGGTTTGCAAATTTCATAAGGGGGTGTCACTGTCCCAAAATATTGTTTGGTTTGCAAATTTCATAAGGGGGTGTCACTGTCCCAAAATATGGTAACTTACATCTGGGTGTCCTTTTAGCAAACTTCAAGGGGTGGTGTTGTACTTTACCCTATTTAATAAAAGTTAAAACATTTTAAACTAAATTTATGTTTAAGATACCAAGAGAAACAATTATACTCATTTCATTTCATGCATTATATTCATTTGATTTAAGCAATGAAGAGACAACCGTTTTGTTCATATGTTCATGCATTATATTAATTTGATTTAAGCAACGAAGTGACCGCCGTTTTAGTATAGATATATAGTGCTTTCATGGTTCAAGAGATGTATATACACTATATATTTTATCAAAGCAATACAAGAATTTTTTCTGGTTTAAGCAACCAAGAGACTATAATTTTTGTTCATATATTTAATGCTTTTATGGGTCAAGATTCAGCATGTGGCTTATGGCTGGTTGCAACTCTTTTATCCTGACAATTGGATTGTTTATTATGTAATTCCTATCAAAGAGGCAATTATAAGGACATAAGCAGAAGCAGCAATGGGTGGTGGTGACTGCCATCGAAGCCAATGAGTTTGTATGGACGACTCTAAATCCAAACTCTCATTTCATCATCTTATATTGATGTGTTTCAAATTATACCACTCGTAATAGCACGAATCTTTGTAGAATAGGACTATATTAAGGGTGTCGAACCCATAAAGAGATGTGTAGTTTACTTAAGTGTTTAATTAATCCGATTTTGATTCAGAGAGAAAAAATTGTTTAATTGGTTATGATGAGCACTGAAAAGTGCGCATTTAAGCCCGTTAAGCTTAAACATTCTAGTACCTTTATCTATCATACTTTGCCATTTTAGACTTATTACGTGTTATTTATATTTTCAGGCACTAATCCCAAAATTTAGCTAACTCAGCCAAATAAGAGCTTAATTGAAGCAATCCTGAGATAAACCAAAGGAGGGAGCAAAGTGGAGAAAAAAAGGAGCAAAAAGGAATCAAGTTGTGCAGCTGAAAAGTTCAATCGATCCAACTTAGAGTTCAATCGATCGAACATCTATGATCGATCACAGTACTTCTCGATAGATCCAACCTTGGCCTTTGCTGAAATTCCAAGTTCGATCGATCGAACATCACCTTCGATCGATCGAACCCTATTTTGTCCTATTCAAATGATTGATCTTATCCACAGCTGTACGCCTACCAACCACTTTTGTCTTTTTCCCCATAAATATCTTAAAAATATCCCAGCCTTGTCATTATCCGGAGGAGTCAGACCACTTTGATCGATCCAAGATGCAGTTCGATCGATCGAACCCATTTTCGATCGATCTAAGTTAAGGTTCGATCGATCGAACTTCCTCCAGCGAGAAAAAGTTAAAGTCCAGCTCATTTATTCCGTCCTTCATCCAATGATTGGAGAATATGCCTTGCACGACCACAGCTCATCATGGGGTGTATTTGACCTACCTATATAAGGAATATGATACACTTTTTGAGGGAGTCTCTTGTCACACATTGAAAATTGATCTTAGAGGCTATTCTTGGAGAGGAGGAAGGAGGGAAGCTAGAGCACCATTGGAGGAGATCTTCACCAACAAGGAGCAACCATGGAGTTAGCCCTTGAGGGTTGGATCATCACTACCATGAGTGGCTAGACATCCTCTTGGGGCTAGAGTTAGCCCCAAGCATGCTTTCTATACTCTAATCTTGTGTATTATTGAGGGATTAGTGTTATATGATACATCTTGATATTCATGTATATATAAATCTTGATTATTTCATGGTTTGTATGGTTTAATGCTTCCAATTGACTATTCTATTCTATCCATATGTCTATGTATGTTAGAGTAGGATATTCATGTGCTTATCCCTAGATTTAGTGTTTTTGATGCATGTCTATGTGTATTGACGCTATAGATTTAG